TGCAATCAGACATGTCGTTTCGGTACAGACGGAAGAAGTGATTCCTATGGGCAAGAGCAGCTGAGCAAGCAGCATATAATCAAGGAGATGAGCACGATTTAACTTTATATTTTCTTGTGATGAAAGCCTCCTTGACACCTTTTAGCCAAGAAGAGACCCCAGACGCACCTTTTTGAACGGGGTGATTAAAAGCCACATTCCAAGTGACGTTGCGAAGCAAATCATGGAAGAGAAGCTGTCACAAACCACACACATCACAAGAGATTCAAGACAGCACCACTACAGACGCCAGAGAAAATAAAAGGTTCCTGGAACCCCTTCCTAAACAGGAAACAACTCCTGTTCAAGAGAAGAGGGAGGAGTATTGACCGGGGCGATAGGGAAGCCTATCTACTCCCTATTAAGAAAAAGAAAAATAAACAAACAAAAACGAAAAAAAAAAAAACAAGAAGTGCACATGAACAACGTGCATGGCACCCAGAGTTGAAACTGAAATATAAAATTTCAACTTAGTTTAAGTGCCAACATGCGCTTCCCGTTGAAGATGAACACTCGACGTCTGAGAGCCAGAAATAAAAATAACGTCCAATACTTTCATGAGACAGAAACAATCAAAGAACAAATATTCAGACAAACTTTTCAAAAAGTGGAAAGAGTAAATTCACTTCAAGGAAAAAAATGAAAAAAAAAAAAAAAAAAAAAAGAATTGGGACCGAGTAAAGAAAAAAATGGAATTGGTAAATAAAATGAGTAAGAATGAAAAGAATGAATATATCGTCGCCTACCTTATTTTATAAAACGGGTGACGATATACTTTTGTATAAGACGGGTGACGATATACTTTTGTATAAGACGAGTGACGATATACTTTTGTATAAGACGAGTGACGATATACTTTTTCACGTTGCTTCGTAGACAAAAATTAAGCAGGAGTGACATTTTTTTGTCACATAGTATGTCAGAATTAAATTTTATATATATTATTATTACAATTCTCCTCACAATTCTTACAATCTAAAAATATTTTCTGGCTTTCAATAACCCTGAAAGGATTGATAAAACGTAAAAAAACCCAAAAAACTAAATCAATCATATAAACATTATGCCGACTTCTTTAAACTGAGGTCTGCTACAGATTTGTTCGTTCGCATTGCAATGACTAAAAGAAATGAAAAAAATTATCAAGAGTGGTGCTTTAAAACCATTCAAATGAGGAAAAAAAATCTCAAGAAAAGAAATCAGTTTTATCATGTTTTTCTGCTTTGTCACCGGTTGTAATTACATTTCTAAACGGTATTATTGCAGAGAGAAGGTCACGGATCTCAAGACACCGTTGGCGCGGCAAGATATTATGCACAAAGTCATACTGTGGGATCCTCTGCATGGAATATGAATGCCCATCCCGAACATACATCGACTATCTAATGGGGGATATAAGGCTGAAAATAGATCAGCTATCGAAAGCGATAGAAGATCGTGAATTATGAAGTAGATTTGTGATGGATTTTCCACCAAAGTCGACGATGAGATAAGACGAGAAGAAGATTTTTCTCGTCATAATCTACCTAACATATTTATAAGTCTACCATTCATTGAATATTGCTGTCACATCCAATCTGGTACTTTTGTTATGCATTTAGAGATTCTAGATAAAATCCAAAGAAGAATCTGTAATTTTCTTGATCCTGACTTGGCATCTTGGCTTGTCACTTTCCCATCGAAATAAAGTAGCTTCCGTGTACATTTTCTATAAATATTTTCATGGTAACTATGCTCGTGAATTTTTTTCTTTGGTACCTAGACTTTATGAATTTAAGTTCAGTACTAGATTGGCGGCAAGGTCTCGTCATTTTACAGTTGAAATGGCTAGATGTAACCGTAAGTTCTATGCTAGTAGTTTCTTCTCTCGTACTTTTTGCCTGTGGAACTCTTTGCTTTGCCAGTCACCTGCTTTCCAAACAAGATCGATTTTCAAAAATTTAAATGCAATGTTAATCATTATATTCTGTCTTCTTAATTCTTATTCTTTTATTGTCCTCTCTCTCTCTCTCTCTCTCTCTCTCTCTCTCTCTCTCTCCTTAATAGCATTTTCTCATATTCTATAGCACTCAGTAACTTCTTGCGTAAAGGTAAAGAGCAAACTAGATATATAACCGTAAGTTCTATGCTAACAGTTTCTTCTCTCGCACTTCTCGCTTGTGGAACTGTCTTTCGGATTCTTGATTTCTAGTCAAGTTTGATCTTCAAAAATTTAGATCGTAATGTCAACTGGTATCTATTCCCTCCTTAATTCCTGTTCTTTTTTTATAATATTTTCACACACTCAGTAATCCTCTGGTGTCTTAATGGCTTTATTGCCTTGCTTGGAGTGAAATGATTAAAAAACAACCGTTTCAGAACGACGCACGACGCATTTGAAGCTATGAAACTAATTAAAAACAAAAACAGACCAGAACCGACAGATCATAATTTTAAAAAGTCCTTCTCTCCTGCTCTCAATAATTTAATTCCAAACATTAAAATTTGTTGGAAACAGACTGAAAAGTCTCATTAAGGGGAATTAATGTTCATCGTGTTTTTCTATTAAATCAAGTAATTATATAAAAAATAATAACTATGAAATGATGTATGGGGAAGCAGGATGGTAAGTTAATGATAGGTGGTGCCACCATAACTTGACAGTAAGGAAATATCCAAAACTATATAGGTTGTATATATAGCGATTCAGTGTGAACACCGACAAAACGATACGAATTATCAGAGTTCGAGAAAATCATGATGGTGGATGCTAGACAAAGAGAACAATACATTTCTAAATCGATGGGTTTATTAATTGAGTAATTTGTTTTTTACGGTTTATCAACCCTTTGGAGATATAAATCCCAATCCAGGGGGTTTCAATGTGATATGGCCGTAAGCCTCTAAAATGAATGTGACAGTTGATAACCCTTGATCCCTTGGGTCCTTGACAATAACTGATGGAAGTTTGCCTTCCATGGACACCACAGTGCCCAACCAGGGGGTCTTTAATAATCGTAACCAGAGGCATCTGATTGGAATTGTCTGTGGAAATAGACAAGTGACACTGGCTCATGTCACGTTGATATTCAACTCAAGAAGTACTGGGCGCCTATCCCACAGGTCAACTCAGCATTCATTTTATTCCATGAATTATGGGAGTAGAAATATCAGCCCGTCCACACATCACGGGACCAGAAACAACTCCGGATATAAGCACGTGTCGTCGGTAATTGGAGTCTGGAGGATTGACAACGACAAAACTTTTGTGGGGTTACTTAGTAGCGGCTACGAATCTACTATCACATTGTAATAAGTAGTCTGTTTTAGTTTCATTTTCCTTCCATGTTTAATATATTTATTCTACCGATTGGTAACATTGTCTTACTGGTAAGTCTAGCAGGTTCGATAAAATCAAATTGACAGCTGATCTCGAAAATAGCCCTCAATCTGTTGTTAAAGAGGGCAAACAATGGCTTGTTCATTTTAACGTCTCAAAAATGAAACTTCTTTCTATTAATCATCTGAGAAAACTGTAAGAGAATTTTTCTTGTATTCTGCCAGCATGGCTGTTGATAATGTAATTTAGTCCGATGAATCACAGTACTATTGACAGTCGTGCTGCAGATTACATGAAGACATGGATCCTAGTTGTCAAAAAAGGCAACGTGTAGGCTGGCGGTGTCTCCATAATGGTGTGGGATGTGTCCACATAGCATTTGTTGGGGCCACCTGTACGTCTAAACCCGCCATTGGACGATGACTGCTCTGTTAATCTAGAACGTAACCATTTTCACCCATTCATGAACTTCTTATAACCCAATATCGATGAGATATGGAATCAGAACGCAGAATAGGTTGCGCTAGGGATAGTTTCATCGAATAGAATATGGCTTTTCTCTTCGAGTTACATGTGCAATCCATTTTAAGTGTTGCTGCTGTTGAAAGTTCTCAAGTGATGCGTTTTTTTTACTCTGAAGAGTTCTTTGTTTGCGATTCTGTAGCGCCAGTCCGCCGAGTTTGAAGAAGGATGCTCCTCTCGCAGACTTACGGCTTTCATTAGCTCAAAGCCATTGTTAACCATTGAACTGAGAAAGCTGATACGTATGTACATAGTTAAATATATTTATAGTCTTTGGCTGTCTGATTTGTTTTTTACGGTTTCTCAACACATTGCAGGTTATTTAAAGGTAGAAAATACTTTTAGATTGTAAGATTTCTTTGAAGATAATAATGATCTAGTGATACGTTTTACTAAATTAACCCATAAGAAAAGAGGTGGATTTGTACCTTTCCCAAGGGTATTTGCGCGTGAGTGAATATAGCAAACCCAACTGGAATTGAAACTCGACTCTCCGACTAACAATGCCGAGCCATTAACCATTGCACCACCGGCACATCTAAAATTAAAGCCCCTGGTATTCTCAAGCTGTCAACCATCGACGTACTCACCAGGCTCGACATTGATTACTTGTGGTGTATATTCTTTGGTGCGTAATACAAAGAGGGGTCTTATGTCAGGAGTCGGTATTTTTCTCAATACGCAATAAACGGGCGTGGTTTTAATAAAACGGCGGTCAGAAAATCATTTAAAGGGTAACAAATTTAGAATTTCAGTAACGAAAGTTAAAAAAAAAACATCCTTTATCAAAGAATGAAAGTGTAATTCTGGAAATAACAAAATGAACAATTTAAATTATTTGAGTGGGTGATTCGTTTTCCACGGCATATCAGCTCTTTGCAAGTTATTTAAAGCCAGAAAATATTTTTAGATTGTAAGAATTTCTTTTTGACGATAATAATTATTTAGGGATACAAATCTTACTAATTAACACATATCTGGGGGGTGGGAGAATGGATTCATACCTATCCCAAGAGTACTTGCGCGTAAGTGAATATAACGAACCCAACTGGAATTGAAACTTGGTTCTTTAATTAACAATTCCGAACTATTATCTATTACACCACCCGCGCATCCACGCTTTCAGCACATGTTATTCCCAAGCTGTCACCCATCGAAGTATTGAACAGGCTCGACACTGCTTAACTTTGGTGATCGTGATGTTGCCGTAATCTTGGAAAATTTAAAATAAAATAAACCTCCACCACTTTCTATTAGACTCTTAAGTGTACGCAGCCAAATGAGTTATAAAATTATATATATATATATATATATATATATATAAAGTGAACATAAAGTCAACACTTAGAGGCGACAGTCTGTTTCATATATATGCAATCGACTGGCCTGACGATTGCATATAACTTGACTTCTATGTTCACTTTATATTCACACGCTCTATCTCTGATATTGAGCACTTTTATCCCATAAATATAGCACTCTTAAGACTATATTTCTTTATATATATATATATATATATATATATATATATATATATATATCATACTTACAATGATAACGCGCTCGGGAAAGCGGACCTGTTCGGAATTTTCAAATTGAGAAAGTCCATAGTCTCCAGCGACCACGCGCAAATTTCCATTTCTGAATAAAAGTTTAATGAACAATTAATTAAATATTTTAATGATGATAAAGTTTGCATATAAATAAATATGTAGGCTAATAATACGGACATTTATATTTCACATATCAAATCTTTTTTGACATAATCTCCTTTCTCAATGCTTTTAATTCTGAGTCGAATATTAGTTATACATTGGACACTATACAGTGAAAATTTCAGATAAAAATTCAAGGAATAAATACATATCAGGCTGCGAGCGTATTGCTCTACCATCTATCTATCTATCTATCTATCTATCTATCTACATTTTGTTATAGGAATAAAGTGTCGTTGCCCACATTGGAATTTGAACACAGATCACCATAGAGCAAACACGGGTGATTCAATTTGTAATATGTAGACCACGTGATGATAAACAGATGTATATATGGAAATTAGCGTGGCGTCTAAGTGATCACTATTTCTACACTATCCTCTATTAATATACGGATCGCTATTCTCTATACTATTTCTCTCTACTGATCACTATACCAATTACTATTCGGTGGTTACGTTCCGAGCGAGTATTATCGAGCAAGTACTATTAATGCGAGTACTATTCGAAGGCGTCTGACACCAACATTGTTTAACGGCGTTTCTATAGTTGTATCTGCGATTACAAAGTCTCTACTACAACGAGCATTACGAAAGTGACAACGAGTATTCGTTGAGATTACAAAAGTGGCAATTAGTGTTCGTTGATATCACAAAACATATATATATATATATATATATATATATATATACACTGCGTGCCAAATTATTATCGAGATAACTTTTCTTATAATATTTCAAAAACCGTCCAATCAATTCACACAAAATTTTCACACAATGTTAGCAACACTGACCTGAATTAATTTGACGGTTTTTGAAATATTATAAAAAAAGTTATCTCGATAATAATTTGGCACACAGTGTATATAATGAAAATATGTTCGTCACTTAGCTAGTTGGTGTTACCTTCAATATCCAGTTTCGTAGACGGACCCCCCAGCAATCACCCCGTCCACTCATCAGGGGGTAACAGCAATAGATATGAACAATGAGGTAGACCTCTAGCGGCTACATGCTGTTTCATACTTGAACGCAATCTTCAGGTGTGTTGTGTTTTGATACGACTATTTATATATGCTGGTCCGTGGTGCATTATGGGTAATAACGTCTATTACATTATCCTAGCGGTTAGACGGTAACTGTAATGTTTCAAATTCTTCTAGAATCTATTGAGTAGGAATAATTGTGAATATGAATGCAGTTATTTGTAGCTATTTTATAGGGTTGTTAACTTTTTACTCGTTGATTCTTATTGATTACTTATTTGTTGTTGATTATTATTATTATTAAATTTAATTGGACATTAGTGGTCTGTTAAATTGTTTATTAGTTACTTAATTTATTTATAGGGTTATTTTATTTATTTATTTAATTTTTCTCTGGTGTTGGTTATCTTATTTCTTTAGTTTAAATTATTGGCTTTGTCTAAAATATGTTACATGATCTGCGTTGTATATAGCGTCTATATTTGCATTTATGAAGACGATATTTTACAAGGTATTCGCTTTTAGTTTTCGATTTCGAAGTAACGAAGTAAAAAAAAGGTTTTCGGGTCTGCATTTTAAAATAAGATCTGATCGTCTATTTAGTAATTTCTGTTGGTCTGGAAAAGTAATTATAGCTATTTTCTCCTTCAGACAGATTTTATAGTTTGGGAATTTATTGTTGTAGGCTGATGCTGTTTTCCTTATTTTCCATGATATTTTTTATGTAATTTTGTTTTAATTTCCCATATATGTTTAGAAAGAACTGTGCTGTTCGCGTATTTACTATTTGTAAAGAATGTTTTGTGTGCATATTTTTCTAGCATCCTTCTGTTATTTCTATTTATGTTTTCTTTGTTATCTACATTTTTACAGTGACTTATTATATTACATTTTTTTGCAAACAATTGTCATTTAAAGGGCATTCGTTCTTTGCTTTGTGTTAATTTTGTGATCTGCTTGTTTATTGTTGGCGGATGGTTGGAAGATAATGTGTATGTAAACTGGTTTGTCGTTGGGTTTTTTATATGATTATTATGTACCTTTTCTTAGGATGAGTGTAATGACTATTAAATCTACTTTTAGATTGTTATTTTTTATCTATGTCGAATCCCATATTTTTGAAAAGTTTAAGGATTATTTTTTTGCTGTTTTTGTCTCTTACAGATTTTTTAGGATTATGAAACTGTCATCACTGTAGAGGCTTATGTCACTTTTATTGATTATTTTACTTAATTCAAGTAATAAATGTATACCTATAAATATATACCTATACGTATAAGCCATGAGGTATCCACCATCAATACTTCCCATTGTAATGTCGAAGGTTCCTTCTTTCTTTATCCATGTGTCCCCGTTGTTGAATAATAATGAATTTTAGGAGTATTTAATGATTTTTAATTCGTTCGTGCTTATTTTAATTTGTTTTTGAGCTAAGGACCTTATTCAGCATGGACTTAATTATAGAAGGGTAGAAATATTTTATATCTCGCTGTATAAATTCGCAATTTTGTTTATGTTGTTGGTTGCGGAGGTTGGTATTTTCTGGACGAATTTTTTAACTGTTTCAGTCTTATCAAATCTCAAAATGAAAGTTGTCCTGAACGGCCACTGTTCTAAATTTTTTGTACAAATTCAGCTTTCCCCTAGAGTTCTATCCTTGGAAGTAATGAGTTCTTAATATTCACCTACAACTTTTCAGACAGCAATTCCGTATCTATGCTGATGACACAACTATTTACTTCTGTCACAATCAGTTTGATCAGTTCGAGTAGATCAAAACCGCAGCTGATCTTAAATGTGACCTCCAATCTGTTATTAACTGACGCAAGGAATGGCTTGTTAGTTTTAATGCCTCCAAAACGAAACTTCTCTCTATTAATGGCCTGATAGAAGCCTTTCTACACTTATCAGCATGGCTGATGCCAATCTCTAGAAGAGTGACTTATTGCGCTTTCTCGGGCTAATATTCTCTGTTGGTATGAAGTGGAAAGATTATATTGAATCAATTTCTAGTTCTACTCCTAAGAAATTTCGTTCACTGTTACGTTTCAGACATTTCCTCTGTCCAGAATCTATCTTACATATTTATCCGTTCATGCTTTTAATATTGCTGCCACATATTTTATATTGCCCCTGCTATATTTAAGGATTCTTGATAAAACCCAAAGAAGAATCAGCAATCTTATTGGTCCTAACCTAGTATCTCGGCTTCAGTCACTTTCCGACCGCCATAATGTAACTTCTGTGCCTTTTCTATAAATAATTTAATAGTAACAGTTCTGATGAACTTGTCTCTATGGTACCCAGACTTTATGACCTTTAGCGCAATACTTGAGTGGCGGCAAAGTTTCATCATTTTACAGTTAAAATGGCGAGATGTAACTGTAAGTTCTCTGCTAACCGCTTCTTCTTAATTGTTACGATGAACTATCTTTCCTCTATGGTAACTGGACTTAAGAAATTTTAACTCTGTACTAACTAGATTGGCGGCAAGATATCAGCTGATAACTGATGTCGCTTATGTTGCTTTAAAACAGAAAGCGGGAGGGAATCAAAGCAGGAAGTTTTCAGAAGTACAAGGAACATGGAAAAGAGTGAATACGAAAATGTATTGATTGAAGGAAAAAATATCAAAGAGTTGATTAAAAACCGAAAATACTTTCTTGAAACACCGTAATTCTTACTAATACTTTTTTTCTCAATCTTTTTTTCGTATTTTGTCTACTCTACTCTCCAGCCATCATCGGGTGTATGTCCCAATCAATAATGTTCCGTGAAAAGGACATTTTATTTCATACGCTGATAGAATGTTGTGCCTGATTTTAACTGATTACGTTTGACGACCTCCGTAGATACACAAACTCCTAGCAAACAATATGGAAATGACAGACATCAAACGATTGAAGATAAAAAAAAAAAAAAGAAAAAAACGATCGAAATGTAATTGTCAAATCATCGAGTCAGTCGATCACCATATGAAAGTCATCAGTTAGAAAAGATTAAATTTAAGATGGGATCGGAACACGTATTGGAATAGTGAAAAAATGTCTTCCAAAGTTTAAGCAAAGTATTAAGAAACAGGAAAATTACGTTAGAAACAAAGCAAAGGTTACTGAATAGCGATGTAATATCTATTCTCCTACACGATGAATGCTGGACAATTTCCTGTCAGATGAAAACAAGATTGGTGGCAACAAATATACGTTTCTTGAAATGAACGCCGAAAATACCACATCTACAAATATATATGATATTGAAACACCGGTTCCCGTACGATCACCGAAGTTAAGCAAAGTCGAGCCTGATCAGTACCTAGATGGGTGACCGCTTGAATATCAGGTACTGTAAGCTTGCATATGCGGGTGGCGTAATGGATAATGGCTCGGAATTGTTAACCGGAGAACCGAGTTCCAATTCTAGTTGGAATCGTTATATTTACGTACACGCAATATACCCTTGGAAAAGGCATGAATCCAAATCTTCTCCCCCACCAACTATGGGTTAATTAATTAGACATGTATCACTAAATCATTATCTCCAAAAGAAAATTCTTAATATCTAAATATATTTTCTGGCTTTAAATAACCTACAAAGACGTAGAAAAAGAATCAATCAATGAAATACTGAATATAGCTACACAGGCATGTCTTTTAGATTTATTTACATTCTTTGGAATATAAATGTGCAGAAACTATTGTGGCCATGAAGTGAGAGATCAGTTTAAGTATTGATTTTAATACAGAATTGATCCCCCACTTTATATCCACATTATAATTTCTTGTTTATTTATCAAATTCTGATTACGTATGCCTTCCCTTCTTCTACTCCCAGCTATCAGACCTGTATCGCTAGATCATTATCGCCAAAAGAAAACTTCTTACAATCTAAAAATATTTTCTAGCTTTAAATAACCCTGCAAAGGGTTGATAAACCGTAGAAAATGAATCAAACAACCAATGAGAATTACCATGGACGAAATATGGGAGCAACGAGGACATTTTCAGGAAAATAGAATAAAAATGGAGACATATATTTCAGACACATATAATGGGTAAAGAGGGCTTGATGAATTTGACACTCAGTATTGAAGGCAAGCCAACATTTGACCTGACGTGCTGTACCATTCAGCTACAGATAAGCGCCTGGTTAGCAAAGTCCGAATTACTGTTTATAAACACAGAATTTTCAATGATTTTTCTTGATCGATCATTTCTGCTCACTAAACGTATCTTAACGTAAACAATAACAACATATGAATTGGATTAAGTCCATTAATTATTTAATGTATTTTCTGTTTATATGTTATTTTTTATACAGATAAATTCTCTTCTTTTGAATTAGACAGTATTAATTACATTTACCAGCCTGAAATCGGAGAACAAATATTTTCTACGGAATTTCTGGAAAATTCATTTCATAATATATATATATATATATATATATATATATATATATATATATATATATATATATATAGAGAGAGAGAGAGAGAGAGAGAGAGAGAGAGAGAGAATGGGAATGTTTTTTTTTTTCCAAAGATGCTTAAAATAATGTCAGATAATAGAGGACTAATTTGAACATAAGATGCATTCAGTTGGGTGTAGTTTTGTGTAACACCACACGTTGCTACAACACCGAAAGATTAACCTGAGAACTTAAGCCTCGTCAAATTCAAACTCTCATACGAATGTCATGTATGACGTCCAGCTCGTCTAAACTACCAATGGTTTCTCGGGTCGATGATTAAACATTACTTCAAGCGAAAGAATACTCTAAGCCTTAAAGAAGACAAGACCATTAGATCTTATAGACTGGCGCTACACAATCACAAAGAACTCTGTCAAATGACAAAATTGACATTATCTAAAGAGCCGTGAAAATAATCATATAATAATGATATAATAATCATTTACACACTACAAATAAAATAAAAAATTATATGAACACAAAAGGAACATTTTAAAAAATAATACGTCAAATGCATTGATTGCCAGCGTAACGGAACTGACCACAATTTTGACTTTAAAAAATGCTACTTTAATCAAAGGAGAAATAAATAAACATCGTATCTGTTAAGAGAGCGCCTTAATCACTATCTACAGTAAATTTGAGCCCTGGCTTTAGCAACATTTCAGCATTGCTGGCAGATCTTCTAATATCACAGTGTGAAATACCTACTTACAAAAGGAAAGGAAAGATAAAGGAAAAGACACTAAATGAATTCGGCTAGATAAAAAGAAATCTAAAATTCTCAGCATCCTTCTGTCGTGCGCATGTGTAGTCCTACCAACATAACAAATTTAGTCCGATGAAATCCTAAACGCGTCACAAGTAAACTTTTTCCACTTTTTCATACAATTTCTCCAATATATATATATATATATATATATATATATATATCTTGATGGGAATGTTTTTCTCATTTTCCAAACACGCCTACAAATAATGGAAGCATTAGTAATAAAAAAGAAAAGAAAAATGCAACACTCAATTATATGAACTATGGACACGACTACAATGTACCAGATAAAAAGAAACCAAATCAAAGATGCTGATTTGCCACAATACTTCAAGCAAAAAGTTAGAAAGAAAATTTCCATCAATACTGAAAAGAGCAATAACAGCTACTGGACTTGAGAAACCTCTTCATTGTTGTGCTCTAGTTACTTGGTTAAAATAAAATTAACGTATACAAAAACACAGGATGTCGTGGAGAGCCATTGTCACCACTGAGAGACAAACTAACAAAGCACATAATTACCTGTGTGGTCCAATGCAGTGCGCAGCGGTTATGACGACCGTTGGTTTAATGATCGTACCACCGCAGATGTGTTGCCAACCGCCCCAATGTTTTCGTTGTATCGTAACTTGCCATGGCCATCGACCCCGGGGAGCTATGTGGCCGCCGTAAATGTGCTGTTTAATGTGAGGAAACACTTTTTCCATGAAGTGATCTAGTTTTGATTGTTTCGAAGACATAGCCTTTTCACCAGTGGGCGACGAATGCAACACAGAACGCTCTGTGGTACGGCTTAAAACTTTTAGAAAGTCTACAGTTTTATTATGTTGTTTTGTCGATCGACCTTCATTCGAAACTTTGGTCGGGGCCGAAGATTGTGTTTCGGTCCATTTCTTGGAGGATATTTGCTTGTCAAAACGATAGTTTGGTGTTACTATTTTGTGTTTGTTTGATACTGTTTTGTATCTGCGTATTTTGTCGGTGGCGTTTATTCTCGGTTTAAACTTCTTTTGGCTTATACGTGTCCAGTGTTTCATTAAAGCAGAAATTTTTAGTGGAGAAATATTGGTTTTATTCGTTACGTGACGTTCATCTGGCAATGTTAGTTTTCCATGGTTCACTTTCGTAGACGTTTCTGGTTTTGGCTTTTCTGTGTTTCTAGTGCTGAGCTGTAGTCTACGTCGAGTTGGTTGTTCCCAAGATGACAATTTAAATTTTTTCATCTTTGTTGAGGGGGACAATTCAGACAGACCATTGACTACTTTGCGTGTGACAAACGAAGACAAAGTAGTTGGGCCTAATTTGGTAGCATTTTTGGTTGATATAGGAGATTTAATTAAGTTATTCAAGTATGTCATTGTTTGGGTTTTCGCCTTTCTTTCTTGCAACCCTAAAAACGGATTGGTAGATGCAGGATTGGCATATGATGCCGTGATAAAACTTTGACCTGATTTACTCACCGGTATTAATGGAGATGGTGAAGGCCGTGTTTCACGTAGTTTGAAAGAATGGTATAAAACATGATCTAAACCTGAAGACTTAACCGGAACAGACCTTTTTCTTCTGTAACCTAACCCTGCACAGCTCAAGCAGTTTAATATATCATTGTAACTACGTGGGAGTTCATCCCCTTGATCGACAATTCGCTCTGCCATTGGCAGCATTACCGGTTTCAATATAGGATGTACGTCTGGATGAACTATCACTTTATCGAACGGTCTCTGTAACTGTTTCAGGTGTGGCGAAAACATGACATGTAGACGTAACCCAACATGAACAGGAGGTTTATGTACAACCAGCGTTTTCTTCGTGTGTAAACCATTTGCGTTTTTCCCGCTTAATAAACTTGATTTTATGTTTCCACTTCGCAGAATACCTTTAAGCGGCACTCCACTCCCAATAATACTGCCTCTGGAGCGACCACTTCCGCCATTTTTCAATAATATATTAACCTGTACCCTATTCCCTCGATTACCTTTGGCGGTTTCCCTACTGTCACCGAATCCTTTTAATACTCCCCTGCTTTTAGATAACATATTTATATGACCACCGACCCCTATTCCAGAGCTATGGCTTAGTGATTTACCAATATCCGGGGATCCACTGCCATGCATTGGAATTTTATATTTTGCGACAACTTTTTTTTTAATCAGTGGTAAAAAGATAAGATGTTGAGTTTTTTGCCGCGGTAAAAAAGACATTTGTCCGCCATATTGTTTTCTTAATGTTTGGCTTCCTCCAAGTGGTATCTGTCTACCTGAACCTAGCAACCTTATGTTTTGTAAAGAATCAATCGCCCCAACTTGTCCGAATGGAAATTTAAATGTCTGCCCTCCAAAATATTCATTATGTCTCCCTCCCATAGGCGATATATTTTTCCTTGTGAGAAATTGGTTTGGGAACCTCTGACGGCCTAAACGAAGTCTTAACTGTATTTTTGATAATCCATCTCCACCACCCTTTATAAACTTTCGCTGAGTCAGACTATTTCCACCTAGTTTCATTGGTTTATACAACGTGCCAGCTGTTCCACGACCTCCGATTTTTCTGGGTCTCATCTTATCCCCACTCATTCTCATTCCTTTTATTCTGATTGTCATCTTACCCCCGCCCATTCTCATCCCTTTTCTTAAAGATGCTATCGGTCTACTTCCTCCAAAATTTGTGAGTTTCCCACTACGCCCACCCCAACCCATTCTCATCCCTTTTCTAGAAGACGTAATCGACCCAGCCCTTCCAGATTTTCTGAGCATTCCGTTACCCCCACCAATTCTCATCCCTTTTCTGGAAAACGTAATCGACCCACCCCTTCCAGATTTTCTCATCATTCCACTACCCCCACCAACTCTCATCCCTTTTCTAAAAGACGTAATCGACCCACCCCTTCCAGATTTTCTGAGCATTCCCATACCCCCACCAATTCTCATGCCTTTTCTAGAAGACGTAATCGACCCACCCCTTCCAAACTTTCTGAGCATTCCCATACCCCCACCAATTCTCATCCCTTTTCTAGAAGACGTAATCGACCCAGCCCTTCCAGATTTTCTGAGCATTCCGCTACCCCCACCAATTCTCATCCCATTTCTAGAAGTCGTAATCGACCCACCCCTTCCAGATTTTCTGAGCATTCCGCTACCCCCACCCATTCTCATCCCTTTTCTAGAAGTTCTAATCGACCCACCCCTTCCAAACTTTCTGAGCATTCCCCTACCCCCACCAATTCGCATGCCTTTTCTAGAAGACGTAATCGACCCACCCCTTCCAGATTTTCTGATCATTCCGCTACCCCCACCCATTCTCATCATTTTCTAGAAGTCCTAATCGACCCACCTTCCAAACTTTCTGAGCATTCCTCTACCCCCACCAATTCTCATGCCTTTTCTAGAAGACGTAATCGACCCACCCCTTCCAGATTTTCTGAGCATTCCTCTACCCCCACCAATTCTCATCCCTTTTCTAGAAGACGTAATCGATCCACCCCTTCCAGATTTTCTGATCATTCCGCTACCCCCACCCATTCTCATCCCTTTTCTAGAAGTCCTAATCGACCCACCCCTTCCAAACTTTCTGAGCATTCCTCTACCCCCACCAATTCTCATGCCTTTTCTAGAAGACGTAATCGACCCACCCCTTCCAGATTTTCTGATCATTCCGCTACCCCCACCCATTCTCATCCCTTTTCTTGAAGACCTAATCGACCCACCCCTTCCAAAATTACTTCTATTTTCATTCCTTCCATTCCGCATCTGCTGTTTTTTTGATGATACTCTATATCTTTTTTGGACAAAACCATTTCTGTTAACGATTCTTCTTATTTCTCTTGTATGTTTACGTCTTCCGTGTCTCCACCCATTAATATGCCAGCGTCTTGGAGTCATTCGCTGACTTGGTATTCGCCACTCTCTTCTTATTCTTCCAAATTCGTCTAGTCTGTTTCCAACTGGAAATTTAAACTTTCCAGGATTATATATATTTAAATCCTGTGAGCCATTATCTAGTTGCAAGAGATCTTGCAAGTGGGGATGTCTTCTGTAAAATGCCTGTGAACCAAAACGTCTAAACCAATGAGGCAATGCAGGGCTGAATTTCCCTACCATACTTACACCTACAGGACCAAAGTTTATATGTCGAAATGGGTTCATATTTATTTGCCAACTTTTACTAAGACTTCCAAAATCCGAGCGTCTACTTCTGCGAGATCTTATTTTGTTTTTCCCGCCTTTGTTCAAATCAACAAATTTGAAGTGCACCTTTCTCTGGGGGTTCATTTGTCTTCCTTTATTTAAGCCTCCAATGCCAAAACGCATTTGTCGTCCATGGCTTCTACTTGCCCAGGTTTTTGTATGTCTGGGCCTGCCCCTGCGGAAACCTTGTGGTCCGTATATTTTAACCGCCCCTGTTCTTATATTTACGTGCGCTCCCTTTTGGAAAACTTGTGGTCCAGACCCTATGCCTCCATTGGGAAAACTTCGTTGTTCGTAATTTCTACCAGTGCGTGATCTGATACGCATGCGCGCACCTTTGCGGAATCCTCTACGTTGTGTTTTAATATGATTTATGATCCTACCATTGTGGAAGACTCGTGGATTATAAACTTTATTTGAACGGGTTGTTGAATTTATGCCCAATCTTTTGCGGTAAAAACTTGACAGAGTGGCTCTTCCTCTAGGAGATTTTATCGATAAAATACCACCCTTAGGAAAACCCATTCGACTAAATCCTTTGCTATATCCACGTCTTATCCGTGATATTACATTTATGTTTCCTCTTTTGTGGAAAACTCGTGGTCCAAAAGCTATTCCTTTCTTTGTCCATCTATTTATCTGTATACCATGTCCTAAACCTCCGCCTATTTGACGTGTTATTTTTATGTCTTTACTCTTGCGGTAACCTTTTTGTCTGAAGTCTGTAGTTATCCGAGACTTTATAGTGCTGTGACCGGGCCTTCCTAAAACTCTATCTCTCAATCTTATTGTTACGCGTTTTGTTATATTTCTTGGCTTTGTCTTACCGTAACGTCTTCGTCTAAAACCTCTATCTATCATTGTCCTTATATTGCCATGACCAGGCCTGCCGAAAACGTTATCTTTCATTTTTATAGTTACTCGTTTGTTTATATTTATTGGCCTTCTGCTGCGGTAACCTCTTTGTCTAAAACCTCTCCTTATCAGTGTTTTTATACGGCCGTGACCAGGCCTACCAAAAACATTACTTCTCATTTTTATACGTACTCGTTTGGTTATATCTATTGGCCTTCTGTTTCGGTAACCATTTCGTCTAAAACCTCTGCCAATCCAGGTCTTTATATGACCGTGACCAGGTCTACCAAAAACATTGTGTCTCATTTTTATATTAAATCGTTTGTTTATATCTATTGGCCTTCTGTTGGGGTAACCTCTCCGTCTAAAACCTCTGCCTATCCGTGTCTTTATATAGCCGTGACCAGGCCTACCAAAAACCTCGTCTCTCAGTCTTATTACTCGTTTGTTTATATCTATTGGCCATCTGTTGCGGTAACCTCTTCGTCTAAAACCTCTGCCTATACGTGTCTTTATATGGCCGTGACCAGGCCTACCAAAAATCTCGTTTCTCAGTCTTATTACTCGTTTGGTTATATCTATTGGCCATCTGTTGCGGTAACCTCTTCGTCTAAAACCTGTGCTTATCCGTGTCTTTATATGGCCGTGATCAGGCCTACCAATTACCTTATGTCTCATACTTATATGAAATCGTTTGGTTATATCTATTGGTCTCCCGTTGCGGTAAACTCTTCGTCTAAAACCTCTGCCTATCCGTGACTTTATATAGTCGTGACCAGGCCTACCAAAAACATTATGTTTCATTTTTATATTAAATCGTTTGTTTATATCTATTGGCCTTCTGTTGCGGTAACCTCTTGGTCTAAAACCTCTGCCTATCCTTGTCTTTATATAGCCGTGACCAGGCCTACCAAAAACCTTATCTCGCATTCTTATTGCTACCCGTTTTGTTATATCTCTTGGCCCTATGTTACGGTAATCTCTTCGACTAAAACCTCTGCCTTTACGTCTTTTTATATGACCGTGACCAGGCCGAGCAAAAACGTTATGTCTCATTTTTATATTAAATCGTTTGTTTATATCTATTGGCCTTATGTTGCGGTAACCTCTTCGTCTAAAACCTCTGCCTATCCTTGTCTTTATATAGCCGTGACCAGGCCTACCAAAAACATTATGTCTAATTTTTATATTAAATCGTTTGTTTATATCTATTGGCCTTCTGTGGCGGTAACCTCTTCGTCTAAAACCTCTGCCTATCCGTGTCTTTATATAGCCGTGACCAGGCCTACCAAAAACATTATGTCTCATTTTTATATTAAATCGTTTGTTTATATCTATTGGCCTTCTGTTGCGGTAACCCCTTCGTCTAAAACCTCTGCCTATCCTTGTCTTTATATAGCCGTGACCAGGCCTACCAAAAACATTATGTTTCATTTTTATATTAAATCGTTTGTTTATATCTATTGGCCTTCTGTTGCGGTAACCCCTTCGTCTAAAACCTCTGCCTATCCGTGTCTTTATATAGCCGTGACCAGGCCTATCAAAAACATTATGTCTTATTTTTATATTAAATCGTTTGTTTATATCTATTGGCCTTCTGTTGCGGTAACCTCTTCGTCTAAAACCTCTGCCTCTCCGTGTCTTTATATAGCCGTGACCAGGCCTACCAAAAACATTATGCCTCATTTTTATATTAAATCGTTTGTTTATATCTATAGGCCTTGTGTTGCGGTAACCCCGTCGTCTAAAACCTCTGCCTATCCGTGTTTTTATATAGACGTTACCAGGCCTGCCAAAAACATTATGCCTCATTTTTATATTAAATCGTTTGTTTATATCTATTGGCCTTCTGTGGCGGTAACCCCTTCGTCTAAAACCTCTGCCTCTCCGTGTCTTTATATAGCCGTGACCAGGCCTACCAAAAACATTATGTCTCATTTTTATATTAAATCGTTTGTTTATATCTATAGGCCTTGTGTTGCGGTAACCCCGTCGTCTAAAACCTCTGCCTATCCGTGTTTTTATATAGACGTTACCAGGCCTGCCAAAAAACATTATGCCTCATTTTGTATTAAATCGTTTGTTTATATCTATTGGCCTTCTGTTGCGGTAACTTCTTCGTCTAAAACCTCTGCCTATCCGTGTCTTTATATAGCCGTGACCAGGCCTACCAAAAACATTATGTCTCATTTTTATATTAAATCGTTTGTTTATATCTATTGGTCTTCTGTTGCGGTAACCTCTTCGTCTAAAACCTCTGCCTATCCGTGTCTTTATATAGCCGTGACCAGGCCTACCAAAAACATTATGTCTCATTTTTATATTAAATCGTTTGTTTATATCTATTGGCCTTCTGTTGCGGTAACCCCTTCGTCTAAAACCTCTGCCTATCCGTGTCTTTATATAGCCGTGACCAGGCCTACCAAAAACATTATGTCTCATTTTTATATTAAATCGTTTGTTTATATCTATTGGCCTTATGTTGCGGTAACCTCTTCGTCTAAAACCTCTGCCTCTCCGTGTCTTTATATAGCCGTGACCAGGCCTACCAAAAACATTATGTCTCATTTTTATATTAAATCGTTTGTTTATATTTATTGGCCTTCTGTTGCGGTAACCCCTTCGTCTAAAACCTCTGCCTATCCGTGTCTTTATATAGCCGTTACCAGGCCTGCCAAAAACATTATGCCTCATTTTTATATTAAATCGTTTGTTTATATTTATTGGTCTTCTGTTGCGGTAACCTCTTCGTCTAAAACCTCTGCCTACCCGTCTTTTTTTATAGCCGGGACCAGGCCTACCAAAAACCTTATCTCGCATTGTTATTGCTACTCGTTTTGTTATATCTATTGGCTCTATGTTACGGTAACCTCTTCGGCTAAAACCTCTAACTCTACGTCTTTTTATATAGCCGTGACCAGGCCGACCAAAAACATTATGTTTCATTTTTATATTAAATCGTTTGTTTATATCTAATGGCCTTCTGTTACGGTAACCTCTTCGTTTAAAACCTCTGCCTATCGGTGTCTTTATATGGCCGTAACCAGGCCTACCAAAAACCTCGTCTCTTAGCCTTTTTAATCGTTTGTTTATATCTATTGGCCTTCTGTTGTGGTAATCTCTTCGTCTAAAAGCTCTGCCTACCCGTCTTTTTATATAGCCGTGACCAGGCCCACCAAAAAAGTTATGTTTCATTCTTATATCTATTAGTTTGTTTATATCTATTGGCCTTCTGTTGCGGTAACCTCTTCGTCTAAAACCTCTGCCTTCCCGTCTTTTTTTATAGCCGTGACCAGGCCTACCAAAAACCTTATCTCGCATTGTTATTGCTACCCGTTTAGTTATATCTATTGGCTCTATGTTGCGAGAATCTTTTTGTCTAAAGCCGTTTCTTTTAAATACATTTATGTGCATTCTTTTAAATAATCTCCCTGGTGCGAACCCTCTGTTTAAATTATTTTCTAAAGTATATATATCTCCTCGCTTAAGTAATCCTCTTGGAACGAACTCTGTATGTAAAGGTTTTCCAAATGAATCTACGTAACCTCGTTTTAACCAATTCCCTGGACTGTGCTCTTTATCCAAGCCATTTCCCAATGCTGTGATGTACCTTTCTTTAAATAGACCCCCTGGTCCGAATGGCGCATATCTACGTCTAAGTATTCTGTCATTTGTACTCCCTAGCATATTCTTCATTTGTATACCCATATGCCCTTTGCCCTTTATAAAAATACGAAATACATTTGGTCTTTCATTGTGTATGTTTCTTCCAGGGAGCACTCCCTGCAGACCTATTGGTTTTCCCACTTGCGGTTCTTGGAGGAAATCACCAACATTTAAATTTCCTCTGCCCCTAAAATGAAACATATTTCCGCCATTATTTATGCGCCTTCTCTGGGGAAAAATGAACTGGCCACTCTGTAATTGTGATCTTTCTCCAGGGTTATTATTCCCCGTTATAAATTCTTTCACTTTATGCAAACTTCTTGTTTGTAATCCATCCGGGTTATACGCCACCATCGGTGCTCCGTTGAGCAATTGAGATATTCCTATTTGACCTCCTATTGGCACTGCTAATTGTCCACCGTGATGTAAATTCGTAGATTGCATTTGTCCTTCATAATGAGATAACGCATGGCCATGATTATGTAGTTTCTCTATTTCAGTTTGCCTTTTATTTAGATTAGTTAAGTGTCTATCATGGTGTAACTGCTCAGCTAGTAATTCTCCGCCATGATGAATTAATTCATGTTCAAGATGACGTAGATTTGGCGTCTCAGCTTGCATTGCGTTATGCAATTTGTAATGTCCGCTATGATGCAGTTTCTCGGCTAGCATATCAGATCCCTGAGTAAGTAATGCGTTTTTAAGGATTTGCCAGCCATGTGCTCTTAGTTGACGATTATTGTTCAATATTATCTGCTGGAGAGGAATTTGCGGTTGAATTTGTCTCTGTCCTCCATTGTACATCGACATGTACCTTCCATATTGGCTGTTCTTCATCTTTCCTTGTTTTTTATGATGCGTTTTTGCATTTCCTCCATCGGAGGTCTGCTTATTTTTTGCTTTCAAATGTATTCCCATGTACTTCCCACTCGATAAATCTTTCTTTCTGTTCTGTTTCCTTTTTGTTGATAAGTGACCTCTTTGAAATTTCCTTCCAGTCTGTCTCTCAATTTGTTCTTTTTTTGAACGGTAAAAATCGTCGAGTGTCCTGCCGTATACACCACGTGACTTTACACGCTGTATCGGTTGTTTATGCGTTTTCTGTGTTTTAAATCTCCGCTTTATTATCTTCCCTCCACGTCTTCCTGTAAACTTTTCAGTGCTCTGAGTTTGCTGGCGGTTTCTATGACGAAATTGCTTTCCTTCTTTCGTTACCCGTTTGTGAGGTTTACGTTTTAATCTTTGTTCCGCCATCCAGCGTTTTCGTCGTCGCAACGAATCAAGAAGTTTTCGATCTTGGATTTTTACGGGCAAATCCTTTGACTTCAACCTTATCTTGCTGGCCAGTTTCCTGTCGGAGTGCTGCGGGATTTGTTTCGGGATTCGATGTCCTTTGACTTGATTGGATACTTTCATGTATTTATTTCTTAACAAAACATGTTGGGGTATATGTGATTTCTTAGACAGGGCATGCACCTGTGACAAAGATGGCTTTGAAGATCTTGAAGTTGACAATACGTGATTTCTAATTGGCTGGTGCTCCAATTCTTTCCTCTTCATCCTCTGCCAAATTGGTCGAGTTGTAGCCCAAATTGGCCTTCCTCCACGACCAAATCGAATTTTGGCTGCTAACGTCACCGAATTGAAACCTAGAAAATTTGATAATAAACAATAATTAAATGCTTGTTTATACTTTCTTCAAATGAAATTTTTCGATTGCATAAATGCACATACATACACATTTGAATAAACTGCATCAGGATTGCGGGCTTAGTTTATTATTTCACATACACACACATACACACACTAACACCAACAGAACTACACTACATACCACACACACTCCACCACCACACACATATAAAAACCACACACACTATACAACACACATGCGCACGAATCACTACCACCTCCACATACATACACACACACCATACACCGCACAGACAGACGCACATATACCACACACACACCACCATCAGCAATAAAACCTGGACCACCACACCATACACACGGACATACTACACGCACGTCATAATTACGCCAGACACATACGCACAACACACACTATCCACCATACACACAGACGCACA